ATCAAATCAAAGTACTTCATAACAAACATCATACACAGATCCAACACTGGAAGATGTGAAAGGAACAATGACCTTGATATAAACAGTATTGTGAAATTGTCTGAGGGTATAAAATCTCCCAAAGCTGTTTCAAAGCATAATGTAAGATACAGTATGGGGAACATTATGCTGCATTAGCTCTCATGTATCTTGTTTTTAGGAGTTATGATCAGTATGTGCTGTAAAGTCCCGCACACAGTTCACAGGCAGTCAATCCAAAGCAAGCCAAAGACAAGCGTGCACTAACTTACAGCAGTGCAGATCTTTAGACTGCATTTTGGGAGATGTCCTTATGTGCATGCCTTAAGTTTACATGAATTGCTGTAAACTAAGAGTGGGAATATCAGGAACACAATATTGTGTGTTTTACTGAGACATGGCTGCTGGAATTTGTTCCCAATTCACACGCCGCCATCACCAGCTTTCAGAGACTGTAGACCAGAGGTGGGCAAACTACGGCCCACAGGCCACATCTGGCCCGTTGGTCCTTTTAATTCGGCCCGCCGAAGACTGGTACAGAACTGCCCAAATCAAATCATTATCATAATTATGACTGCATTCATTTGACCTTGTCCTGTAATGCCTGGCGTTCCACCAGGTGGCGCATTAGACACGGTCATACATTGACTTGATTTGGCGGAGCCAGGGCTACTCTCAGTTATTACTCTGCTACTGCTCTGAACCCATCTGCAACAATGAGTGGGCCAAAGAAAAGAAAAGTTGACAGTGAGTGCCAAGTGTTCAATAAGGAATAGACAACTAAATATTTTTTTTACTGAAGTCCAGTCAAAGGTTGTATGTCTTATTTGCCAAGAAAAAAAAAATACAACATCAGCCGTCACTTTTTTGTACCAAGCATGCTAATTATGCTAACAACCAGTCAACGCAAGAACGGATGGCTACTGCTCAGAGGCTGGCAGCTAGTTTGCAGGCTCCGCAAAACACCTTTATCCGACAAACTGCCATCCAAGAATCAAGCACAAAGGCAGGTTATTTGCTGGCATTCAAATTAGCAAAGACCAGCAAGCCTTTCTCCGAAGAGGCGTTTCTCAAAGAGTGCATGGTAGCTTGTGTCCTGAGAGCAAGAACAAATATGAAAAAATTAGCTTAGTGACCCGCCGTGTTGAGCTAATTGACGAAGACTTAGCTAGCAAGCTAAACAAAAAAGCGAAGTCATTTACATTATATTCCTTGGCACTGGACGAAAGTAATGACATAAAGGACACCGCTCAGCTTTTAATTTTTATCAGAGGGATTAATGACAATTTTGAGATAA